ATGAAAAGTTCATAAATAAGAGAATCCTACTTTGAGTTGGAGGAATCACGTGAAGGACTCGGCAGTCACGTTTACATTAGTAACGTCATTTTCTAATTTTCCATAAAAAAAAATTCCATGAAGTTTATTTTGGAATAAACTTTCATCCTAAGTAAATCATTACCTCAACCAAATAGGAAAAGGGTTTATGGATGATGCTATATAAAGGGTGATGGAGAAAATTTGTCATTATCAATTCTTGAGGAAAAAAAAACACTTTGTGAAAGTGAGAGACAACACAAGCCAAGAGAAAAAATACAATTACAAGAAAGGTGTTTCTTGTTCTTCTAATTTGAGTTGAGATTTTTGAGAAAAATTGCAGCACAAGTTTTTCAATCAATTTGTTCGCGTGTTTCATTGTTCAAAGAGTTGATAGCAAAGGATCGGTCTCGATGTGGATACGCATAGAGTCTTCGCACTATCGAAGAAATTTGAAAACGAAACTCTTTTCACCAGGTACGTCTTAGATCCGATCTTTGACATGTAAATAAATTTAAACACGAAAAGATCAGCCTAGGATTGTTATTGTCTTCTGCTGCGTGTAACGAACATCAAATTTCAAGTGGAACTGCTTCATTTGGCTACGTTAGAAATGTCAAAGCCATCCAGCATGCTATTATTTTTTCCAAATTAAAGGATATATCTTGCCTTCTGCCTCTGTTTCTTATCTCTATATGTATAGAGGATTTTGCCTAAATATATATGCCAAATTAAGCATAGAACACCATATTACAAGTGATATTTCTCGTATAAATTAAACTAGGAAACATATATATATCTTCGGTTATGGATTCCCTCAAGAATCTCTTGCTCTCCCCTCTCCGTAGATTTATCCACAAAGATTTCCACGAGGCCGTGGATAGCAATGGCTCTCCTGGACAAATTTTTGTTTCTGGTAAATTTTACTTAGTTTAATATATACCCTAATTGATGATTGCTCTAGACTCTAGAGTGTGTGTTTTGCGTGCAACGGTAAGTATTCTTATGACAATTTTTTTCAGAAAATAAGTCAATTTTTGTTGTTTGATTGCTAAAATTTGTATTTTCCATGAATACTTTCCACTAATTTATGGAGAAAAATGTTGTCCTGCTTCTTCGAAGTTATTTTCCTTTTATATCATTATTTTACCCAACAACTAGATATATTACTATCAATCTCTAATACTCAAATATTTCATCAAAATACAACCTGATTAATTTGCTTATATTATTAACAATCTTTAATAGATGCATGCTTTACCTGAAATTATTTTTGCACTTTCAAACAAACTCCGAAAAATATTTTCCAGGGAATAATTAAGGCAATTTCTGGGAAACATTTTTGGATAAGGATTTCCATTAATACCATACACACCCTTAATCCCGTACTGCTTCAGAAAAACTAACTTCTACCTTTTGAACTAACGCGGGAAGACAACTTCGTAAGATAAATTTTTTGCGGTTTTCTTTTCTTATTTTAATTAAGTCTGTTTTAACTATTGTAATTACATGCATGCAGATTGTTCATTTCGTTGATAAACTGAATCTGTGGCTACCGGTGTTCTTGTTAGTAAACTGTATTTGTAAAATAATTCTGGAAAATATAAATGAACATAAACAGAAATGAAAAATAGAAACAGAATTTTAATCCGAGCCCACTGAATTCACAGTGTTTCCTTAAGGAATTTAATCCCCTCCTAGTACCCAAGGTTGTGGATTATTTCCTCCCAGGATAGAACGAATCACACACTGGTGTAGTGGTACTTCAAACCCCAGTGTTTCAGCGAACACAAAGTTCGGTAGCAAATCACACTTACTGTTGCTTTGTTTGATGTTAAAAGTATGCAGAAGAAGGAGGAAAAACTTAGAAAATCGTATGGAAATTCTGAGCAGAATAGTCTTGTATTTATAGCCAAAGTTGGGCTGAAATCTGAAGAGGTGCAACTCTTCAGAATGGATGTTTATGCAAAACGGCCATATCATAAATGCCATAACATAAATGGCTATTTACTCAACAATAAAGAGGAAAAATAAAGAGGGAAAATTGAAGAGGGCAGTTTAATTTTCAGTTACACAACTGAAAAACGGATTGGATTTAATATTAATATTTTTTTAATATTAATATTCTGTTATTAAAACAAATATTTAATAACATTTCTATTAATATTTTACTATTGGCAAATAAATTCGGTCCAAAAAATTGATCAATCAATCGATCATTTGACCAAAACCGAATCCGAATCCGAATCCGAAGCCGAAGCCGAGCCGAGCGAGCGGCGACGACGACGACGCGAGGCTTGCCTTCTTCTCAACTCTTTAAGAGCTAGAAGAAGAGCAATTTCTTATATACCCATAAAAAACCTCTTTCTCTTCCAATATGGGACAACGTCCCTTTGCCAAGGGGGAAAACTTAAAATTTTATTTTGTAACGACCCGAACGATCGTTTTGAGCTTTTACACTTTGTTCGTCAGTTTCCGGGCATGAATTGCCCCGTGTGACATATTACGTCTCATGTAAATCGTTGATTTTGGTTTTCAGGATAATCGGAATGAATTTGGAAGAACAGTTCCCAATTTGAAGCTTGAAATTCGATAGGTTTGACCAATATTTGACTTGCTTGTATATGATCTCGGATCGGAATTTTTATGATTTGTTTAGCTCTGTTAGGTGATTTGGGACTTAGGAGCGTGATCAGAATGCATTTTGGAAGTTCGTGGAAGGTTTAGGCTTGAATTGGCGAAATTGAGATTTTGGCGATTTCCACTTTGTAGGCGAGATTTTGATATAAGGGTCGGAATAGAATTCAGAGAGTGGCAGCAGCTTCGTTGTGTCATTTGGGATGTGTGCGCAAAAATTTCAGATTATTCGAACGTGGTTTGGTTGGGTTTCTGATCAAAAGTGAAACTCGGAAGATTTTAGAAAGTTTGGCTTGAATCCGATGTGTTTTGGGTGATTTGATGTTGTTTGAGGTGTTTTGATGATTGGAACAAGTTTGAATAAGGTATTAGAATATGTGTGCTTTTGGTTGAGGTCCCGGGGGCCTCGGGGTGATTTCGGATGGTTAACGGAGAAGTTTGGATTTTGTTGCAGCTGCTAAATTTGCTGCTTCTGGTATTTTTGCACCTGCGGATTGGGGACCGCAGGTGAGGCGCCGCATAAGCGGAGTTTTAGTCGCAGAAGCGGTCAAGGAAGAGAAGTGCAGGAGCCGCAGATGCGGTTGGCTGACTGCACCTGCGATGGCGCAGGTGCGGCTACATGGTCGCAGATGCGATTTGTGGATTTTAAGTGAAAGCCGCAGAAGAGGCAATTTGACCGCAAATGCGGTACCGCAGGTGCAGTGAATTGACAGCAGATGCGGGGCCTGGTGCCATAAGTGAAATTCGCAAAAGCGGATGTTTTTCCCGCAGAAGCAGAAGCGCAGATGCGCTTATGGGATCGCAAGTGCGGAAATGCTGGGCAGAATGTATAAAATACCCCTTCGCGATTTTCAGTCTTTTGTTCACCATTCTTGTGTGATTTTGGAGCTCCAAGCTGTGATTTCAAGAGGGGATCAAGTGTATCGACAGAGGTAAGCTACTTGGGCTTTATACCTAGTGTTTATGGTGATTATATCATTGTTTAATCATGAAAATTTGTGGGAAATTAGAGGAAGAGTTGGGAATTTAGGACTTGAAATTTGGAGAGTGAATTTTTAGGATTTGAGTGACCATATGAGGTCGGATTTTGGTCAATTTGATATGTATGAACTCGTGAGAGGATGAGGATTCCATTGATGTTAATTTTATCGGATTCCGAGACGTGGGCCCGGGGGTCGAGTTTTGGTAATTTCGGGAGTTGTGCTAATTGTTGATTATTTTCGCTTGGGCTTCGTCCCCTTAGCCTATTTTGACGTCCTCGTTCTGATTGTGGATAGATTCGACGCGAGTGGAGGCTGATTCGAGGGGCAAAGGCGTCGCGAGCTAGAGATTTGACCGGTTCGAGGTGAGTAATGATTGTAAATGATGTTCTGAGGGTTTGAAACCCCGGATTGCACATCGTAGTGCTATATTGAGGTGAGGCACACGCTTGATGATGAGCGCAGGGTCGTGCACTATTGGGGATTGTGACTTGGTACGTCCCGATTGATGATTTTTTCGTGTGTCTGACTGAAATCTATTTGCTATCCTTATTATTTGGGCTGAATGCCATATTTGGGCTTCGTGTCAATTATTTGAATCCTTTGGGGATTTTTGTTGATATTTCCTCACTGTTTTAACTTCATACTTGAACTCAGTCATGTTATTGTCCACTGTTTTCAAAACTCAGCCATGTTCACTCAGTTTTAATACTCAAATGATATTTAAATGATGTTTTGGGCTGAGAAACACTGTTTTACTGTTGCCCGAGAGGCTTATGTGATTTTGACTGAGTAAGGCCGAGGGCCTGTGTTGTGAGGATATCTTTTGGGTCGGGTTGCACGCCGCAGCGGTGATACACTGATTTTGATTATGAGGCCGAGGGCCTGAGATTTTACGCCACGAGGTGGCTTGATATTGCGCTTGGGCCGTAAGGGGCCCCTCCAGGAGTCTGCACACTCTCGGTGAGCGCGGGTACCCATTGTGATGTGAGATATAGCCCGAGGGGCTAGTATTGTTTTATCTGATTACTCGAGAGGCTGGTATTGTTTTGTGTGATTGCTCGAGGGGCTGGTATTGATCTGAGATATTGCCCGAGGGCGGAGTTGTTGAGTTCACTACTAGAAAATAGGCCTATGGCAACGGATATTTTTGCAATGGTTTAGAAACCGTTACGATAGACGGGTTATTGCAACGGTTATAACCGTGGCAAAAAGACATTGATACTACTGGCACACTTTGGCTATAAAACCGTTGCATTTGGGTGGAAACCGTTCCTATTGGAGTTTTATTTTGCAACGTTTATGTAAATCGTTGCAATAGATATATCTATTGCAAACGAATCTTGGAAATAAGTTCAATGGGAACGGTTATTAGTTCCCTCCTACCACCCCTACCCCCAAATGTTTTAGGCAAAATAACAAAATCAAAACCCGCCATACTCTCGGCAAACATACATATCCAAAAGGCCAAAATCTGTCCTAAACTTTTCGATCTCAAAAGGCAAAGAGAAAGCTGCCAGTTTGTTTCCGTCTCTTCCATCGTCTTTGTCACCGTAGTCCGTCAGCCACCACTATTAACACCACAAACAGCCACCTCCGATCATCTCTTCAAATCGTCCAAAAATTCTAAGGTTTTTTCTTGACTAATCTCGACTAACATAGCGGGCATCTTCAATTTCTCACAGAACCTAATACTAGGTTTTTTCTTGAATCTCATGAGTTTTTTATTTTTTTATTTTTCTTGCTCTTCTATTACCAATTTCTAAATTTTTCAATAGTTGAACCCTAACTGGCAGATCCAATTCCTCGCTGAAATTGCCGCTGGTTGCTGTGGGAGAAACCATCGATGTAAGCTTTTTAATTTTTTTTTAAAATAAATTTTGGATAACAACATTCGCTAGTTGTGTGTTTGAATGAAGATTATTGATATTTATTTTTGAGAGTATTTGAGTGATCCTCATCATAATTGGAAATGTTGTGATTTTATGTGTGTATCTTGTGGGCATAGTATGTTTTACCATACTAGATTCTTTTGTCTGTGGCTTCCCTGTGTAGAAATTGAAGATACAAAATTGTATAGAGCTCTCTTCTCTTATGCACTTCCTAAGTAGTTATAGTTTTATAAGAAAAACGTAACAATCGCTTTGACTTTTTGAGATATTTAATTCTAATGATTCTTAATTAGAAAAGTTAAACTACTTTTTGAGAGAAGGGTGATGTTTAATTCCTTAAAAAGAAGTTTGTGGATAGTAGTGAGCACATAAATATTTATAGCAATAAGGAAGAACTTACAATTTTTTATTCATAGTCAAATAAGGCCTTGTTAAGTAAGTGGGGCCCAATACAAAGATAAAAAGCTTTCTCAAATGGGAATATCATTCCAGACACACTAAGAACAGTAGTTCTAATTTGCATACAAGCATATCTTAACTTCTATTTAGAATTTTGCACTTCCTAACTAGCTTGAGATTGAGATTTAGTTGTTATTTTAAATTTGGCGCTTATTAATTGAAAAAATAACCTACAATAAGGTATTTTGGTATTTGATTTTTTGGTACTATTTTGCCACAGTATACTGATCTTGAATGCAAATACACAATTTTTATGGTGCTGTGACCTTTCTTTTATTCTAGGGAGAAATCGTGCATGTAGCTTCCATATATATATATATATATATATATATATATATATATATATATATATATATATATATATATATATATATATATATATATATATATTCAATTATCTAATTTCGTATATGTTCCGATTATGTATTTTTTGTGAGAGATCAAACTGTTTCAAGGTTAGGACCTTATGAGTCTATTTCAGTTAATTCTCAATTTAATCTTCTAACTATGGTGCCAAAAAGAATGGATAGTCACTTTAGTTCCAGCAAGAATTAAACTCCACTGCCTTGCTTCCTTTTCTATGGTTTTTGCTCTTTTTCTGTTCAACGTTAGCATGTTCTCGCTTGTCCAACTTTGCTATAACATAATCTTCAAATACTTTATAATTTGAATATCAAATAAAATTTTATAGATTCTTACGGTGGAGATATGTGTTCCTTAAATATTATTATATGTGTTCCTTAGAAAAGAAAGAAAGAATCAGCTTATACTCAGTAAAGCATACTAGTTCATTGCCTGATGAATTGATAAAGCATGTAATAGTTGAAACTGAGGAATCAATATATACTTTTCAACTTTCGTATTCATCTTCTTTGCCTTTGTTTTTGGTTCCAATTTACCGAGCAAGTGTCATTTGGAAAAGACGAAAGGAAAAATAAGAAAGTATATAGCTCATGTTTCATGGGGGTTATTTTCAATCAGCTAGGTGAAGTTGTGTAGTTGCTACGACCTGATATATATATTCTCTTTTCCTTTGTATAATGCTCTTTTTCCTCCTTCACCTTCTTTTATCAGCAATTAATTTTGTTAATGTTGCGAGATGAAACACCTGTATAATGGTAACAATTAGTAGTGCTAACCATGCTTGTAACTACTAAAAAAGAAAAAATTTGGGATGTCTATAATTGCTTCTGTGCTAGTCCTTCCTGATGCAGCTTTTACTTTCCTAAAGTGTAGTTACTAAAACATTATTGGGCCCTGTATGAACCCTCCACTAGTATTTTTATAAATGCTGCCAAATCTATTGACTCATTTTATTTGCAGAAAACATCCAAAATCGATATTTAGAATCGAAAAAAGTTGAGGTATCCACACATTGTTGGCAAAAACAAGTTTTTCTCTAATACGTGAGGTTTTATATTTAATCTTTTTTTTTTAATAAATATGAACTTGTTAGCATTACATGAAAAGTTTTTTATATCAGCTTTTGTGTAACCAGGCAAAAGAAAGAGGATGCTATTCAACTAATAAATACCAGCTTATATGCTCGTTTACCTCGAGAAGCTTCCTCTGTCCAACAAGATGCTATTCAACTAATAAATTGTCTATGTACTGGTTGTAACAATCAAGGTTAGTACTTACTCAAAATATTACATTTTCTCTTCTGTTTCTTCTTCTTCTCCTCATTCTGCTGCTTCTTCTCTCTCTCTCTCTCTCTATTACTATTATGCATATTCTTTTTCCATTGCCTTGCCGGTTTTTTGTTGCTATATTGTTTGTGTCTTCATGTGATATTCTAAATATTATAATCTTCTGCTTGACATAATATCTATGTTTTGGTTAATTCGTAACCATGTTTTGAGTGAGATGCTTAATTGAGTTGGATACATGGCTTTTGTTTTAGATTCTTCTTGTTAAAATATCATGAAATATAGTTTCAATCTGATATGAGAGAAATCAATTTTTTACTTAAAGTAAATCAAAAACTTGGAAATTGTGATTGATGTGAAAGAAGCATATACTCACATAGCTAGGAGAGCGCCCAAGTAGCCCGATTTTATGTGATAATTTGGAAATTGTATGCATTAATTTGCTGTCAATATTAGACTTCTACCTCAGTTTAAGAGTTTTTTGTTGTGTTAACAACTGTGAACTCCATTGAGCTGGTTGAGCACATTGAGGGAGGTTATAGTGACTCAATTCTTTGCTATTTACTTGTATTATGCTGGCATGAAAAACTTTTTCCATTAATTTTATCATGAGTGTGTACTATCAAAAAAGAAAAAAAATCATGAGTATTGTGTGTGGATCTATGTTATACTGCAGACAGATGCAATAGATATATTCAAGATAAAAAGGAAATATCTTGGTGGGTGACACACGGTACAAAATCAATGTGCTCATTAAAATCTGCTTACAACTTGCTTTGTGGAAAGAAGTACTTGCAAAACCAGTAGCAACTAAGCAACTGCGCCATATCTGTGTTTAGATGGCTCTTTCCTTTAATAAATCAAAGTCTTATTTGATCTTCAATTGAATTCCTAGTGAGTTGTGCATGCTGCTTGTAATTGGTATTCTTGATAACGATGCTTGTTAGTCGCAAAAAAATTATAATGAAATGATATAGTAACATGATGTTTATGTTGCAACCACACGTTCTTTTTATCACATTATGATTTATCCGAGCATAAATACGATTCTTGTTTGGATGCTCTTTAAGCTTTTCATTATTACTTATGTTTCCTCATATTTGCTTAAATTGTCCACTACCGCTTGGAGGTAATAAGGACTTTATTTATCCTCTTTTGTAGATGGAGAAATGATGAAAAGGAAGATGAAAGTGATGAAGAGCTCGTCCTTACTTAAGAAGATTTTCTGAATTATTGCTGAGACTTTAGATGATCTAGGAATCTTTTGCTATTGAACATTTTGAAACTTATGCTAGCTCTGGAATTGTAATACTTATCACTTAGATTAGAATATTTTTATTATGGTTATTACTAGCTTGTTGGACAAGGACAATTTATTTGGATTGTGAGTGATCATGAATAGTTTCAATTTGTGAATTATATAAATTTTAGTGTATTATAATTTATTGCATGTGTAAATATTTATATATAAACAGGTGTATATCATTGTTTCAATTAAGCCGTTGCAGTAGGCCACCAAAACCGTTACAATAGGCCATCAATATGTTTTAGAAGACAATGTAAGCTGTTGCAATAGGTCATGCAAATAGTTCTAATAGGATATGTAAACCGTTGCACTAGGTTATTCAAACCGATGCAATAGCTATTGCTCGGCTATAAGAAACCGTAGCAATAGAGAAAAACCGTTATAATAGCATTACAAAATCGTAGCAATATCTTTAATTAGCTGTTGCTTTAAAACTGTGGCAACGGTTTTAAACCGTTACAATAGAGCAAAAACATCCGTTGCCTCAGGGAGATAAATAACCGTTGCCATAGATATGACTATAGCAACGGTTAAACTAACCGTTACAGGAACCGTTGCCCTTGTTCTACTGGCACGTGATCCAGTGGAACAGTCTATAAACCGTAATAGACCTATGGTAACGGTTTAGGTATCTGTTGCAACGGTTTTCTCTGCGTTGCCATAGACCCATTTTCTAGTAGTGGTTATAGCCCGAGGGGCGAACCTTTATGTGTTTATCTGTTCATTTACCTGTTTAGTTGTGTAACTGTGCCCGAGGGGCGGATTTTCTATGCTTATCTATTCTAGTTGTGTGAGCACGTGATTTTTGCCCTATATGAATTATTCCCATAAATTCAAAACAAAATAATTTCTTTTCATTACTTGCAATTTTGTGGATTTTCGTGGCATTTTCTGTTAATTGTTTGCATTTGTTTGTGCATGTTTATTTTATTTAATTTATGAAAAATACAAAAAATATGTTGCATTTGCATTTAGGATTAAATTTGGCATTTTGAAATTAGTTCGTAATTTAGTTATGTTACAAAAATAGAAAATCACAAAAAAATAACTCATTTTGGCATTTAGTTTCGAATCGTGCAGTTTTCTTTTAATTTGGTAGTTAATTAGTTGTTGTAAATATTATTTTGAACATTAATCTAATATGGTAGGATAATTTTGGTTTAGAATTAATGTAGGTTTTATTTTTAATTTGAAAAGAAAGAAAAAAGATTTGAAAAGAAATGGAAAGACAAAAGAATAGAAATTGAAAGATAAGTCTGTTTGGGCCATTTTTAATTGAAATTCCTCAGGCCCAAACATTTGGCTCAAAAACCCGTCCAAATTTGGCCCAATATTACACCCCAGACCCGGTCCAGCCCCACATTTCAAAACGACGCCGTTTGGATCAAAGCAATCCTAGCCGTCTAGGTTGGCTTGATCCAACGGTTGGGAAGTATGGGTAGGGTTGATATATAATTGTCCTAACTTCACCTACCCCCCCCCCCAAAGCCCGTCTCTCTCACCCCACTCTCATCAGAGACGACCTCCGCCGTCCACCGCCCTAAACCGCCGCCGGAAATCGCCTCCGCCGGCGGCGATCACCCAATGGCCACCAAAATTACACCACACCTTCCTCTTCATCTCCCTTTTCCAAACCCAAGCTTAGTTTCCCCCAAATCCTACCCAAGCCCGTCGAATATGCAAAACCCTAGCCGCCGCCTCCACCGTACACGGCGACGCCGACTCAAAACCAGACCAAACTTACACCCTAGACTCGCCTCATCCTTCTCCTTCTGAATCCACAATCAATAATCTTCGAATCTTCCCCAAATGGTCCGAATTTTAGATCGAAAATCAATCCAGAACCCTAATTCGCCAAAACCTGCCCAAAACTTCATCAAGCATATTCATCTCTCAATCTGAGAGACTTCCTCGAAAGCCCTTTCATATCGAAGCAATTTCAAAACAGAGGAAGGAGACGAAGCCTAGGGTTTTACTGGGCCATACCCGCATGAGTCTCCTGCTTCCAATGGAAGCAATAGGTTCATTTGGGTCTGGTCCACTGTATCAAATCCCTTTTCAACTGTGTCCGGAGTCCGACCAATCTAGGAGAGCTTAGGTCAGTTTCCTCTTTCTGAGTTATTTGTCCGGTAAGTCTTCTAATCTGATTTTTGTTTTTCTTCTTTTGGTTGTTTTTGTTTAGTTATTTTGTGTCCTGAAAACTACTTTTCTTCATTTTTAGGGCCATTCTATTTCTTTTGCAAAATCAGTGTGTCAGCCTAGTTAATTCTTAATTCATAAGATTGTTATCTTTGATACTGTTTAACTTCTGAGATAGTTTTCACCTTTAATTTGTTAGTCGATGTTTGTCCACCATGTATTTCAGGCGCCTAGGTTTCTTTTCGATTCAACTTGATTCATAGTTTGTTGTGCATTTTTATTTGAGCTTGATTTGTTTGAAAGAATTAGCTAGAACATTTTGTGTTTGGTCACATTTGTAGATATTCAGTACCTTAAGGGGGAAATTGAATGATTAGAAACTTAAGGGGTTTTAAGGGAAAGGTTTAAAGGGTAAATAGAGTCTGCATGAGGGTAATTGGGGTAATACACTTAGGGAATCTTTAACAACTAAATTGAGAAGCCCCTAGAAGCTTCTAGGTCAAGGCTTGAATAGCAGTTTTTAATTCTTAGTAGCATTTCTTGGGTAACAAGTCACAAAATGAGGGACCTAAAGGCAAGAATAAAATCTGAAATTGCCCTAGTCTTTTTCTATAAAAGGGGCAGTACCCTTGCCTGGCAGGGGAGAGGAGGGGATAGATCTGAAATTCCAAAGGGATTCCAGGCATTAAAAAATATTGAAAAGCTCTGGAACTTGAGGCGACAGAAACTTCTAAAAAGTATTGTTTCATTGCTCCTTTTGCTTGAATTCTCAAAGTTTCTTCACATCTGGATCAATCTTTGTTCATCTAAGGCTCAGAATGGATTAAAATATTAGCACTAAGGTCTGGTTAAGAGGTTTTGGGTTTGTATTTGGTCGAAATCACATTGGGTATACTGATTTGGGTTTCATTTGTTCCAAAAACTGGTTTGCTTTGGTCCTGGTTCAAATATGTTTGCCACTTTTGGGTTTTGATATTCAAGTTGTTTGAGCTGTTTGCTGCTGGGTTTGAAATTAATTTCAAAGTTCGCTGCTGCCTGCTNTCACACTCCAAAAGAAACTCAGCATTTTCGCAAAACAAACGACTCCTCCGTCAAAGCGTCCCGAACACTCGGGGACTAGCGTCGACAAATCAATCTCTGAACGACCTCTGGCTCGGGACTCCATGCTCATTAGCCCTCAACGAGGCAACATGAAAATCACAAAATGACTCCAAGGCCGAAAATGTCCCGAACACTCGGGGACTGGCATCAAAATCTCAAATACCGTAGGGTCGAACTCGCCAAAGTCGTAAGCCCTCAATGAGGCGAGCACGTGATTTTTGCCCTATATGAATTACTCCCATAAATTCAAAACAAAATAATTTCTTTTCATTACTTGCAATTTTGTGGATTTTCGTGGCATTTTATGTTAATTGTTTGCATTTGTTTGTGCATGTTTATTTTATTTAATTCATGAAAAATACAAAAAATATGCTGCATTTGCATTTAGGATTTAATTTGGCATTAGTCAGTAATTTAGTTGTGTTACAAAAATAGAAAATCACAAAAAATAACTCATTTTGGCATTTAGTTTCGAATCGTGCAATTTTCTTTTAATTTGGTAGTTAATTAGTTGATGTAAATATTATTTTGAACATTAATCTAATATGGTAGGATAATTTTTGTTTAGAATTAATGTAGGTTTTATTTTTAATTTGAAAAGAAAGAAAAAGATTTGAAAAGAAATGGAAAGAAAAAGAATAGAAATTGAAAGATAAGTCTGTTTGGGCCATTTTTTATTGAAATTCCTCAGGCCCAAACATTTGGCTCAAAAACCCGTCCAAATTTGGCCCAATATTACACCCCAGACCCGGTCCAGCCCCACCATTCAAAACGACGCCGTTTGGATCAAAGCAATCCTAGCTGTCTAGGTTGGCTTCATCCAACGGTTGGAAAGTATGGGTAGGGTTGATATATAATTGTCCTAACCTCACCTACCCACCCCCAAAGCTCGTCTCTCTCACCCCACTCTCATCAGAGACGACCTCCATCGTCTCCGCCACTCTCCTCCATGAGTCGCCGGTCGGAAATCGTCTCCGCCGGCGGCGGTCACCCAAATCCGTTCAAAATTTCACCATGAAATCCTTTCAACCTCCCCGTCACAAATACCCCTATTTTACATTGCAAATCCCACCCAAAATCCCCAAAACAACGAAACCCTAGGCGCCGCCACCGCCGCACACGGCGGCGCCGGCTCCAAACAACTCCAAAATAACACCACAGCACCTCCTAACCTTACTCATTCCTAATACCCAACTGGATTTCTTCAAACGTCACCAGAACGGCTCGAATCTTAAATCATAGAGCCGGCGGAACCCTAGAAGGTCATTTTGCTCCATCTTTACTCAATTTTTTGAGTCTGGTCATGCGTAGGTAAGTTGCTCCTATTTCTTTAGTTTGAATATAATTTTTCCTTGTTTCTATTAATTTGTTCATCCTTTCCTTATGATCTTTTTCTTCTTTCTTTCTTTTTCTTTTTCTTTGGGCAGTAATCAGTACTTGTGTTTTTGTCATTTAAATTTTTGTTTTTGATTCTTCCTCTGTTCTTACTGATACTAGTTTAAATTCATGAATTAGTGTTTAATCGTTACTTGTTGAATTCATGTTTATAAATTAGTTTGTTTATTGATGTTAGTTAATCATAGGTTTGTTTAGTGTTATTATATTTTACTGGGTTCTTAATTGTTTAACAGTTTATTGCTTATTAGTTCAATGTTACATATTAATTAGAGTTAAATTTTAGCTTTGGTGATTGGTTATAGCTGATTTAGACTCAATAGGATTAACTATAGTTAGTGTTAACTAAGGTAAAGGGGTTTGGGTGGGTTAGTAATTTCAGGGGCAATCAAGGGTAGTTTAGGCATCCAAAATGGGCTGGTTTGTTAAAGACGAGTAATTTTAGAACCCAAATAAGGGCAGTATAGGTATTCCGTAGGTAGCTAGAACACCCTAGGGCCTT